TATATTAATTTTAAATTCGATTTGCAAATTGTCCGTGGTATAAATTGGTTTGCATTCCGAGCAAATAAATTATTTATCGGTTAACCATTTGCTATTCATCATCACTCAATGATGTCTTCCCATACCTGGCATTCTTCGTCTATCAATTTACAAATTCGCAGGCATTTGTTTCTACAATTAAAGCTATCGATGTCAAGGTTACGACGCCAACCAAAAAAATAAAAATACTTTAGCGTTCGATTAATTGAAGACGCTAACAGCTGTAGTGTAGATTCAAAGGCAACATTTAAATGCCAGGATCGATCACAATGGAACACATCTTCCGTTCCAGCAACGGCGACAAGTGTGACGACCTTGGTGGTCAAGATAACGGAAATATTATTATTCCTCTCCCATGCACGTTGAATCTTTCTCATCCAGCAATTTCGACCCATTGTAAATAACTAATAACATAAAATCCAATACAAAAATATTGGGAATTGAATTATTTATTGCAACCCTGTTACATTTAAAACTCATTTTCATACATAAAAAAACTGATGTTGCGAACGTTTAATGTAATAAAGATTATTAATTATATTACCGAAATAAATAACTTATTTAAAAGAATGTAAAACAAACAAAAAATCATTCTATTTACTAATAATAAACATGTTTATTATTTATTACTCGATTAATTTCACTTGCTAATTGTTACAACAATCTAGTTCCAAATGTTTAAATCAACTAATTATTTGTTTGTGGATAGGCCAATAAACATTGTTACAGTAATTAATAACGATTTAATTAATTCTCTCATATTTAAGTACAATTATGCGAAAACTTGATTGAATTTGTGAATAGTACGCGTTCTATGAACACGATATTTTTTTAACAAAAACTATTTAAATTGCTAGAAAATGTCCCAAAAAAAAATGCCATGTGAACCGAATAATTGAGTAACGTTTAAATAAGAAAAAAAACACAATTCATTCCAATTGATGAAACTGGTGTATATTAATGGTAATGAGTTGTAAAAAGCACATAAAATATGAGTACAAATGAGTACTAACTATTTGAAGGAAAAAAAACTAAAGAATATTATAACAGGTTAAAGTAATTGAAATTTACATTTTTTATTGTTATCATAAAATAAAATACAAAGAAATGATATGGAATGTTTATCTTACTTATTATGTTGTATTACAAAGTTGTTTCTGGTATAAATCATAGAAACTAACGGTAATGATATTGATTAGGTCAATTGGAAGTTTTATAATAATTATAATCGCTATCAAGTTCTAATTATGTTTTGTTGGATTTCCTTGCATCGTTCTCGCCATCATCATCATTATCGAGTGGGGATGATGATGATGATCATCGGGCAGCATTTTGGCGAGACAGTAACTAGATTCAGGGGCTGTATGCACGAAATGAAATGTTTGACGTCCAAATTGAGAGATGGAATTACAGAGTGAATTCGGTGGCGCACAACGAACGCAGAATCAGTTTTGGAAAAGGTAATGAATTCATTCATTTCTAATTTCGCGCCACGAAACTGTAGATGTTGAAGGGAAAGGGATGTTGCGGGGGCGGCGGCGGCGACGAGACCCGGTGTTTACAATTATCGGCGCGTTGATGTTTCTCGGTAACGGTTGACGGATCAGTTTAAAACGATTTCGGTCCATTTGTCACCCGGTCGATTTGAGTGTCCCGGGGCTAAAAATAGGGGGGCCGCCGCTAAGAGAAGAAACCCAGTCACGTGTCACGCTCATTCCCTTTGCATGCTCCTTCCTACATATATCTGTGTATCCTCGAGACGCCAAAAGATAAAAGATGCAAATCGAGCGGCTCAGATGATCTTATTACAATTTTTTTTTGCTCTCTCTCTCTCTCCCCCGTTTCGCACACAGTTTCTACCTGCAATTAAGTTGGAGGCGAGAGAGAGAAAGAGAGTGAGTGTGAGAGAGCTCTAGAGGGGGCGAGAAGAGCAGGCTAAATCGCACAGTTAACTTGTTAACGCTAATCGTAGTCGACACGTGAGCGACATCTGCTACGAACGACCGCCCACAGTTTACTTAAACAGACTCGTAGCAGTAAACCACTCAATATCACTACAACTGCAGACCAAAAAAAAAAGAACGAGAAGACTGAAGAAACACACACATACACACACACAAAACACGGAGCTCATTTGGACGTTTGTTTTCCCAATTGAGAACTTAATTGGAATTTATTCAAGCCCTCGAATCGATTAAGTCGTTCCCAGCCTTCGGCAGCCCCCATCCAACAGAGGGAAGAGAAAAAAGCAGCAACGAAAAGGGTGGCTCAAAACTAAACCAATATTTCAGCGCCGCAATAGGCGACTGACTCCCCCGCGAAATAATCACAATCAGGTATTATCGATTCATTTGTACGCCGCTTTTCCCGACCCCAAATTAAATATTCACCAGTTACATTACAGTTATTAAGCGATCCGAAATACAAATACGCTTATTATTATTATTACATCCTTTCGCGTGTAATGATTGAGAACTTACAGCCAATCGTTTGATACCATAAATACATATCGAAGTCTCAACGACCCCAAATAAAAGTTTAATTTCCATTCAAACTCGATTTCCAATACATTTTTTAATTCTATTATATAAATATTTACAATGTTTATTGTAATAAATAAATTAAAATCACTTTTAAACATGTAATTTCAGAACATTTTTACAATAATCAATTAAATTTACGTTATTTTTCATTATTATTTAAACAACTGTGAAACTAAGCTGTTTATATTGCACGTTACGTCTATTTACATTGATTATGATATTAACGATTTGCGGCGTTCCATACAATTGCCTTTCTCACAGTTTACAATTTACTATTTACTATTTTTTTCATATTAAACATCAAGAAAATTATTATGAAAATTTAATTGCAGACAATTTTCTAATTCGGTCGAAAGGAAACTCTCAAGTTTATTTACAAAACAAATGTTTTACAAATAATGAAAGGTGTATTTTGATTTTGCATTTCGCGTGAATTTCATAAAAGCCTCGGGAATTTTCCACGATTTGTTGGAATATATAAAGATTGTGCTTACATTTGAAACGCGAGTTTTCATATAACGTCAAGAAAGTTACGTAAACTTTAATTAAATAACGTTTTCAAGGTTTCGTACACACTTGTATGCTACATATACATTATTATACGTGGATTGAGGTTTCATTTTTTTTCATGAAAATACTCCATGTAAACAATTTCAATTAGTTAATTTATATAGATTTAATTGAAATTTCAATAATTATTTTTTTTTAGTTAATTAATTAATTTCATTCTGAAAACAGGTTATTAATTTACTCTGTAATTATAGACATAATAAACATAATTTTTATCATAAAATTGGAATTTCAATATTGTACATGTTGAACAAGTAGTAGTTACGTGACCAATTCTCCTTCGTCATCATTATAATCATTATAATATGTGATATGTATATAAAGATTGCAATAGAATAAATATTTTTTCAACAAGAAGTAAAAGTTCTATAAATATAATAATAACCAAGATTCAAACAGTTTTTCACAAATTAAATAATACTATTCTCCTGAATAACCGTAACAATATTAAAAGCTGCGTTTATGTAATGCAATTCACAACATGACATCTATTTAAGCGATAACCCGAAGATATAAATACCGTGCCTTTAAAGAATAATTATTAAATAAATCAACGTCACAACATTAAACGCCTAGCTTTCACAATCAATTACTCTATCGTATAAATCCCCGTGTCGATTTAACTATTACCAATTAAACATTACAAAATTCGAACGAAAACTAAAAACGGAAAACCGAAACACCTTTCAATTTTCCTGTAGATTTCCTCTCCGCTTCATTACATACCCTTTTCGAGCAAACAAACAAACAAGAAAAAGATAATTAAATGATATATCCTTGTGCAACGCAACGTTCGCAAACCCAATATTATGTCTCTTTGTTCTCCGACGATTCGAGAATCACTTTCAGGCACAATCGCTGCTCCCTAAATAATTCAAACAGGAAAAAAAAACCTTCCAGTATATCGATTGCGTAATGCGACCAATTAGATAATCCGACGATATCTGTTTTTTTTTCTTTTTTTTTTCACGCAATTATAGTTGCATTCCGTTAATTGGATCGATGATTTCGAATGGACACCGACCAGCCATTTTGGATTAGAAACAAAAATCGTGTTGCACATAATTGCGAAACAGTTCATCCAATTTTCGTTACTTTAGTTGACGTCATTAATTGTGTTTCGCTTATTGAATAATGAATCTGATTTGAGTGGAGCGCGTCCATTCCGAAAATTGAAAACGAAACTTATTCGTGACGAGTAAAGTTCAATTAACTTTGAAAAAAAGAAAAGTAAAGTAAAGTAAACTCGTAAAAAAAATATGCGAGGAGGCGCGCACACACACACAGAGAGGCCGACTCTCGGATAATAATTGTAAGCTCACTTCCAGCCGTAATTAGCGTAATAAGTTTAAAGCTCACTTCGTCCGAATTAGCATATACAAGGTATATAGGTTTATATGAGAGTTTCCTCTTTTTACGTATTATTAATCAATTCATTGTAATTAGCATCGAAATGATTTCGATTGATCGTTTATCTGTAATTAATAATCATCATTTATCGTGTGATAAAAGGAATTCAAGTAGAAATAAAAAGGAGTTGAGAAGATTAAGAAAGCATTCGGACAAGTTGCGCAACCGTTGGAATTAATAACTTTCAATTCGCGTAGTTCGATTGGAAAACGCATAAATGTTTATTCTCTGGTTACGATTTGATGGTCTTTCGAAAACTTTATTTAAATTTCAAATTAATTGTCCGAAAATATTTGTCAAATTTGAGCTTATCGCGCGTCACTTGATGACAAAGGATGGATCGTGGTAATAATACGCGTACGACGAAAGCTCGTCGTTCCTTCCTCTCCTCTCCTTCAATCGTCGCTGGTCCGAGCGAAAAATTTCGAAATAACTTACCCGAAGGAAAAATAACTGCAGGAATTCCCCTTTTCCTCCTTTTTTGTGCGGCTGCTGGCACAATTCACTCTTATTTTGTTGCCTTGTTGATATGATCTGTCCAGTTATTTGAATTTCGCTTTTCGTTAATCCTTTGTTGGATGCATACACGCGAAATTGGCACAGAAAGTTCGAGAGTTTATTTTTATTGTGTATGTGTGTCTTCTTTTGTAAATAAAATAGTTTAAACAAAAACAAAAAAAAAGAAAACAACAAAATAATGTTTAATGACGATGGGGGCAAACACAAATGAAACACTTGTTATTGTTTATTGGATTACATTCACTATTTTATTTATTTTGAGGGATTATTTTCGTTCGCAGCGCGGATATCACTCTTTATGTAATTGGTAAATGATTTATTCAGTGGCGTGCGGTCGGGCAGGGGGGGTGTGTACGCTGTGCGTGCGTGCGACTGAGACAGAATGATGTACTACATATATATATGGATATATATGTTGGTGTGGGTGTAAGAGAGATAGAGATGGTTATCGAGTGCGAGGTTGTGGTTGTTGGAGTGAGTGTGAGTGAGAGAGAGAGAAAGAGAGGATCGAGTGTGACGCTGGCAAGCTCTCCACTCGACTCGACGTTCGGGACACGACTAGCACGACTATACTCTGGCAGAAGAGATAGAGAGAGGATAGAGCGCAGCGATCCGGTGTGTTCGGTAGAAAATACCGAGTCTCGCCAATCTACGGCTGTACTGGGTTGCCTTAACTCTCTTACTCGATACTGCTTTCCGCGTACTCCAGAGCTACGTGCGCTGGAAGTAAGGTTAGATCCTTTCGCCGTTACACGAAGCACATCGGGACAGAGCCGAAATTCACCTCAATACTTGGTCCTGATCCTCGTATAGCGCGCGCGATGTATCGAAAACAAAGTGGGCTACTATACTAGATGATGATACGATATTTATTTATTTATTTATTTTTGCCGTGTATCAATTATCTTGTCAGGAAATCGGACTACCGCAGAAAGGACGGACGAAACAATCAGGACGAAATAAAAGCACGCTCTCGGTGTAACGAACAGGGTCTTTTCGCACGTTTATCTCGCAGGATAATTTCGTCCGCGCTCGTCCGAGATTAACCCCCCCCATCGAAATGTCATCGATATTTCTGGCACAATCATCTCGAAAATGTATATAAAATCCATTATTAACTCATTCCGCCTTGTCACAATAAACTTTCTTTATTGGCTTCGCCGTTCCGATACGTGCATTCATTCGCCAAGGCAATCCCCCAGTCCAGCACAAATGCTCAAAACATGTTCCTAATAGAATCCTACAAATTTTTTAAATAGTTTTTTTAATATATTATCAATCAATGCTACTGTGCAAATTACAAACAAATTCCTATAAGTATTAATCAAATGTCGTTAATTAATTTAAACTATTTTTGATATATTTTTTGTCAATGGAAATAATTGGTCTTTTTTCCTTGGTATAAATAAATAAATAAAAAACTTGTAAAACAAGAATCAGATTATGTTTACCAAATAAAGTTTTGTAAAACAACATTACAAAAATTTGCGTCATTATTTTGATAGGTTTCGCTTTTATAATTTTGAAATTTCCAAGAATCCATCCCTTAGCCGAATTGGGGTCACAGGATTTGAAACAACGTTATTTTTTTAGGCGGAAATTAAATATTTATCATAATTATTCCACCGTTAATAGTAATTAACTAATTTATATGCAACAAGTTTATTGTAAATTAAACATTTTTTTTATTCTTCTTTTAAAATGTAATGTTTTCTGGAAACTTTTTACAAACTAAAATTACAAACGAAAAAAAAAAAACAAATCTGCATCAATATAACGATTAAAGTGATTATTAATTATTTCATAATTAGTAATGAGTTGATCAAATATGAATAGTCTATAATTACATTATCAAATTAAAATAATTCAGTTACTTCCTTCAATTCTCTTTGTTGTAAAACACAATTAGAAGAAGTAACAGGATATATTTGGGTGTCGGTAATAACGGCAAATTAGAAGAAAAGAAATAAAGACACAGTGAAATATTACTCATTCAAAAGTATTAATTGAACAATAAAAAGTAAACAATCTAGATATATATAAAATGTAAGGAAATTGTAAAAATGTAATATATAATAAAAAAAAAAAATCATCATGTATTTCATACTTTTCTTTTGGATGTAATTATTTATGTAAGGGCTTTACTATAAAGCAACAAAAAATTGAAAACAATTTAAAAATTGTATGCAGAAGTTCAGACGATAATTCAAATGTGTTTTAAGTCTAACTTATGAGAAATAACAGGACTTTTACAGGTTTTGGTTTTAGAAATGTTTCAATTCACAGTAACGGCAATTCAATAGAAGAACTAGATTCTAAACAAATTACAAAACAAAATTAATGTATGTAGCTTTTATTTTGAATGCAACAATAATGAAAAAATAAATAATAATAATTATGAAATTATGAATTTTCTCTGTTTGAAAATAATTTAAAATATTGTTAATAAACTGTTTAAATATTATTATTAATTAAACCTATATAATTAATTAAATTAATTATCATTTACAACAATGTTATATAAATTGATAATTAGTAATATTTATTCTATATGTTATTACGTTTAATTTAAGTTATAGTAATTAATTAAATATTCAAGATCTTCGTACAATCCATATCTTATGAACAATCTGAATGTATGGCTTTAGCAGTGCGTAAAACTCGATGAAACTAAGCCGGTGATCGATTATTATCGTACTAAGAAACTGGTAAAAATAATAAACGGAATAAATAATAGGGTTTTGTGAATTATTTGAAAGTTCGTTTAGGCCGCCGGACCTCTTCTCGTCGCAGCGTCTTCATAAAGTAAAGTTACGCGGAGTTACTTTTAGCCCTTTATTTATTGTGCTCCTGAGCTCTTCGGCTACCTTAATCCGCCATTATATGTCCATTGAAAGAAGTATGCGGAGGAATATTCTACACAATTGCAGAAAACCGTGCAGTGGAGAAATGCACGGGACCGGATGGTCTCGGGTCTTCGACTTGAGAATATTCCTCGTCGAACACACGTTGCTTAAAATAATAAAATAAATTGCGCATTTATCAGTTCATTTTGATTTCAATGAAAGCATAAAATACTTTTTATAATAATTATAATTTGTAATTTTTAATGATATTAATGTAAATTGATTTGGAAGTTTACAATCGTTTATAACAAAAAAAAAATAAATGTGTGCTACATATAACATTTTTTTTAAACCTAAAGCACATCCGAGAATCAATAACACAAGGGGCGGCTCGTGTTTGCGGCTCAGAGTAGGGTCCTCTTTTGAAAAAGGGAAAAGGGGGAACGGAGCGGAGCAGCAGTTATCTGCTCTCGCCCAATTTAAGTAAGAGTTCGGCATCCGAGATTTCACGGTCTCATGCCAAATTATCATTTTACGATTCATACATATCACCTTGTACAGATGCGAATGCTATTGCTGTGAATATTGCTTGTGACTCGGTAATGTTGCTCATTGCGTTGGCATGCTCATAAATAGTTCATACGGAGTCGAGGGGATTGCATTGTCGTCATATGAGTTCTCCCATGTAAAAACTGGCCTATAATTAGATTCCTTCTCTAAAGCCATTTAAGCTCTTCGACAACTTCACGAACATCCTCTGGGCTAGAGCTACCTAACTCCCTACGTTGCTTTTATTATGTCACCGCGTGTGTTTACATTCCATTGAACACCTCGTGTTTAAACACGCCACTCGGGCATACTTTTCTATAGACAATCGTATCAATACGAAGATGGATATTCTAAATTGAATATTTGTATCAAATCTTTTGACTTTTAGTCAATAATCTGTACACTTGAGAAATATATAGTTACGTAAAAGAATAACTTCTTCCTAATACGTTGCGTCATCGTTATTGATATTTATAAATCTAAATTCGACAAGGAAAGGGCTTTTTATTTTGATAAATCTCACTCAAGAACATTATCAAATCAATGTATAATAAATTATTTGATTAAATAGTTTACAATGTATCTAGCTGGTTTATAAACTAGCCAAACTATACTTCTACTTCACTCAATAAAAATTTCTTCAACGATTATTAACTAAAAACTAACATTATCATCAGCAGTTAATAATCCAATATTCATATTTAAACAAAGATGATTGTTAATCTAATCTACTTTTTCCGTATAATAATCTAATCTATGAAAGAAAAAAAAAAGTTTAATGTATATTTGCTTAAAGATAATGAAATCTGTAAAATTTGTAAAATCTTTGTTTAATTTTATGAAAATTACAAGTTAAAAAAATACAATTAAAATTATTAGCAAAGAATTTTTGTTTTTAAATTAAGAATGCAGTGAATTAAATTACATACCATTTGTTTCATTTCATTTTTTTTTTCACTGTGCGTTTGCTACTTTTACCATAAATCGTATCCAATGCCTGGGTTGCTAGATTTCACAAGCAGATCGTGAAATCTGGCAATCCTGCCTACTCGCTTCCATCGCTGACATTGCGTTAGAAAGCATTTAATTCTACTGAATATTAATTTGATTAAAATGTAATATCTAATGCTCACCTTCAATACACTTATGAATTTAGTCTGTGTCCTGTATAATAAAATAATATTACATACGCTTAGGTTATTTACGTATAACTAAATTATGTTATTTATTCATATACACACAAATATATGATAAACAATTGATAAAGACAATAGATAAAGTGAATGAACTGTTTATTAGGTATTTGGATTGTTTTGTTGGTTGGTAGTCGTTTTAAAACGTTATATTTTGGGGACATTCTCAGCCGTGTCTACTAGGTAAGAACTCTCTTTATGGCCTTTCACTTGTTATACTCCTAAGAATATTACAGATCTTAATCCAGCTTCGTGTACACAACTGGTATACAAATAGAGTCTTCTCAAGGAGATTATGTGTTAATATATATCTACGCATGTATACAAATAATTTCGTCGCATTTCGATAAGTAAAATCTAATTAAATGGACACAATTGAAAATAATATCTTTAATGAAGTAGTGGTTTTAAAACAGTCGACAAATGCAAACTGTAATTAGAGCGTAAGCTGTGTTGGAAAGCAACGCGCTTAACTAACCGATAGAAATTGTACGTCGCTTTATTGAGATAAAGCTCTCAGCCTCACAATGGCATTTGTTTTGAAAGGAAATTGAAGTTTAGGGGTTGGTAGGGGGGGTTGAGGCGAGAGGGATGCCGACCCCAGTCGCTTTTCCGACACATTGCTTTCGATACAGTTCGTATCATCATATAAATTATGATCATGTAAACCAAAGACAGAAATAATTTTCCGTTTTTATTATTTTTTTTCATAAAACGATCGAATCTTCAATTGTATGAGAATTTATGTACTACCGCCGCTCGTCTCGTCTGAATCTGGCCTATATCTCGAAAACATATCAATCTTTACAGTAGGATGAGCACATTTGAGGGATAAAAGAGAAGGAAAATATGTGCGTACACTTTACGAGAAGACAGAACTCGATTTAAATAAAATCAATATATTGTGAACGTGATAAAATTTTGATGTTGTTGTAAATAATATAAAGAGGAAATCATAGATTAGAGATGTTTTTGTAATTTGATTCAGAATAAATATGTATAGAGCAG